ACAACTCCAGGTACTCAAGACACAACAGATTCCAGGCACTCCAAAACAGTAGCAAAAATTAACACATCGCACGAGGAAAAATATAATTAAAAGGCCTTTATTTGAATGGCCAAAGCCAACATGTTTCGACCCTAACTGGTCTTCATCAGGGCTCAACTCCAGGTACGTTTTTGAGGAGGCTCACAAGCTCACAAGAGTCAGTTTAGCGTAATGTAGGACCTTGATGATCGTTTGAACTTCTTTGTACACTACGAGGGTGTGGTTTCAGTACAGTTAGCTCAAACCTTCAGACAGATAAAAGGCCGTGACTCACCAGTATCACAACTAAAGAAGACTCTGAAATGTATTCACTCTAAAACTTTTGTCCAGTTGACTTAATTACATTTTCGTTGGCAAGGCGACCTACGGTACCTGAATCACTGAGGGGTTACACAGACATTTGTACACTAGAACATGAAAAAACTTGCTGGATTATTTTTATGTTTCACTCGTCATAATGGTTGAAGGTTTGGGCGTTTGATTTAGACAATAATATACTTGCCAGACCAGCCAGTCGCAGAATAATAGAGGAGAATTAGGCATGAAAATTCTCTGTCCAAACTTGAGACGGTTCAACCACAGCTGCCAATTTGTAGCACGTGTCTCTCAAATGTGGAAGACATCTCCTATCCATAATTCATCAACATAGATCTATTTATACATCACAGTACAAAAAAATAAAATAAAATAACAGTCACATCATATATGTTGAGACCCATCCTTCAGTGCGACTGGGGCAAACTGTCAGGATCCATCTCCAGATCTTGAGGCTTGGTCAGGACTACCTTAGGACTACCTTAGGACTACCTTAAGACTCAGTTGGTACAGCGTTTGTCCACTGATCTGTAGGTTTGGCGGTTTGAACCCCACTCTCGACATAAACATCATTGGTTGAGCAGTCAAATCCACTGACCCACAGGTTGGCTGGTGTGATTCCAGCTCCCATAGATGAACGCTGTCGTTGTGTCCTCAAGCAAGACACTTAACGCACCTCGCCTCTAGTGTCTGCGTACACTGGTGTATGAATGTGTGTGTGAATGGGTGAGTGGTTCATTGTTGTAAAGTGCTCTGAGTGCCTTGAAGGTGTAAAAGCACTAAAAATGTGACCACTTACCATTTATTTTGCATGTGAATTTGACTGGATAGACTGGTTTTGGAAAATGGATAGATTGGTTTTGGTAAATGGATAGATTGGTTTCCGTAAATGGTCACATTTTTACATAGCGCTTTTCCAAGTTCAAAGCACTCAAAAAATCAAAAATCAAATTAAAAACAAACAGAAAAACCACTCACTTATTCACAAGTTAAGTGTCTTGCCCAACGACAAAGCATTCATCTGTGCGAGCTGGACTCCCGCCAACCTGTGAGTCAGTAGATGTGACCACTCTACCAATGATGTTAAGATTGAGAGCGGGATTTGAACCGCCAGTCGTCGCATCAGTGGACAAACATTCAACGAACTGAGCCTATGTCAAGGAAACAAATGTCTGCTGCCTCTGCTCTGTTAATGCTCGAGTATAAAGATCAACGCAAGTGTCAAAACTGAAAAAGGAGGTATCACTAATCTGAACACAGCGTGATAAGAAATGTGTTTTATTCATTATACAAGTTACAAATTACAGACACAATACAATAACATAGATCAGAGTACGCTTTAGTCATGTTTTCCCAATTAGACCAACATATTTTTAATGCTAAGTCCCACAGCAGTTTCTTTTGTCTGGCCCAAGTCCTCTACAGATAGGAGGGAGGAGATAGTCCAACAATTACAAAGTCACTGGAGTTTAGTGAAAGAAACACAAGGTTGTTCTTATTATGTGAAAAAAGCGGAACATTTCCACCCAATCACAATTATAAAGTGGACTAATCAGCCCTGGTTTGATTGGCCTTGATTTGAAATCCAGAGTCGTCTTTTGTCCGAGAGACAAATTAGAAAACCAAGCTCCCATTCACTGTTCTCATTCTTAAATCTCAAGGACTACACAACCATGAAGATACACCACCAATCCTGCTCCATGTCGGTCTTATATTGACAATCCAGCTGCTCTCCGGAGCTCTGATTCAGTCAAATACTGAACAAAGTATAAAAGGAAATATGCCACCTGTATTTTGTGATGATTTTACTCACCATATACAAATACAGTGATACAGGCTTTAATGCTGATCTCTCTATATTTTTGTCCAATAATTTAAAAGGTGCATGTGGCAGCATTTCAGGGATTTTCATTGAAATAGAAAGTTAAAACCATACTTCAGAACATTCTCCTTTTTTTAAATATTATTTTTGTATTATTATTTATATTTCTTTTCACTGGAGACAGTTGGTGTGTGTGTGTGTGTGTGTGTGTGTGGGGGGGGGGGGGTCACATTGTATTACTGTTAATTATATTATTTATCTTTTCTTCTACTTCTGTGGCATCTGATTTGTGTGCACAAAAAAATAATAAAAATAAAATAATAATAATTTAAAAAAAAGAACATTCTCCATGGAGATCTATTTATGCCATACTATGGAACATTCCTAGCCAGGCTGGTGCCACCTAGTACCTCCACTCAATTTAATTTCTCTCCAGTGACTAGATCAGGAATTAAAATACACTAGACTTTCTGAACCCAGAAAGTGCGAGTCTGGGCATCAGCCAATCAGCGAAGAATCATACATTCTGTATTGGCAACAATTACCAAGATCGAGGATTTAAAGCCGGAACAAAGAGAATGAATGATATTGAGGGGAAAGACGTTCTTCCTATTGGATTTGGGAAAAGCTTAATATACCAGTTAGCCTCGTTAATGGTGGAATATATATATCACGACCAAATAGCAGCGATTGGTTCAATAAAAAAAGTACCCATCTACCATCGAGCGAATGAATCCTAACACTACAAGGCTGATGAATCAGGCTTGAATATTTTAGCCAAAGAACAACATTAAATAATTAATTCATTATTCATTGAATTTATTGTAAGCATTTACAGTGCATTCTTCATTCACTCCTCACTAAGTGGGTGTAAGTTACTATTATAGCCACAGCTGCCCTGGGACAGACTGCCAATCTGTGCCATCAGCCCCTCCCACCACCGCCATCACTCACACACACTCCACTTTCTTACTAAGCAATTTGGGTAAAGTGTCTTGCCTAAAGACACAACAACAGTTTTTTGTTTTTTTTTTTTGTTTTGTTTTTTGACACTGGTGCCCCACTGTGGCACCTGGAATTTCCATCTACCCTTTTTTAGCGAGATCAGGCTTTGACAGGCTGGTGTGGTGTGGTGTGTGTGCAGGAGCAGGCCCTTCTTCAGGCCAGGAGTCAGGTTTGTGGAGCTGCAAGTCTGCTCTCAGTAACAATGCAATTATTTATTCTATAAAAAAAACAAATTGCCAAATTGAAGAAGAACAGCTTTTTGTTAGCTAAAATATTACATAATGTGGCTTTAAGGCTAATTAAGGTGTAGTTATTAGGGATCCAGAATACACACTTCTTCAATATTTTATGAAGATAAAGTAGATCAGACTGATATCTCTCTATATATTTTTTAAAAATAAATTTGGATATCATTCTGGATTTACCAGGCAAATAAAGTGTAACCAATTGTTTTACTAGCAGTCCTACTATTTATTTCCGTATCTGTAGATTCATGTATTGTCTACAGATAAGTGATAGTGCTGGAAGAATGAATGTCTTCAGGCGTATAAAATCAGTGCTGGAGATTACAATGAACAAAATGTAAAATAAAACAATCAGCTACATACTCACACTCTTTGACACACTAAACAGTCAAAAGCCTAATATATCTTCTTTAAACATCTCCACACTTCCTCTTAACTAAAGTTTACATACCTTCCCTGTTCAGGTAAACCATGTGACACACTTTCACTGTTTTGTATATCTGTGTTTTGTATATGTGTGTGTAAGCTCTCAGGATGTTTTCTTAGCGCTGGCCTTTGACGTTATGATTTACATCCGCTCCTTGTCCCGGCCCTAAACCTCACCAAAGATCATCAGACTGGTTTAGCAGAGGCGCTCACATGTTTGCACAGCCACCCCGTACACGAGCAATGGCTTTCACATACTCGCCACTGACAGGTCTTCCGCTGCGGAGATGTGCGTTTGATGGATATTTCAGAAGGTACTGCGTCCTGTCACTCAAGTATGTAGTGTTATGGTTTAAAGAGGTGAGTTTGCATGAAACAAAGACTCCAGACACGCCCTCACCTGACAGACACAGGAACACATACTGGTTCTGAGATACTCCTCTTAACTCATCAAAAACATACCTGCCATACCTGTGTTTTGTTTCATTCACAAGTGTGTAAGTAATCCTTTAATATTAGTCTGTTTACATCTCCAAAGCTCAAAATGTTCTGTTTGAAGTTCTGATGTCATGATTGACTACTTTCGTCAGCACCGAGAACGGCCAGTATCTCGGCTCACCGGGCGCTGTTGGGGGTAAAGTCAGTGTTGATGCACGACACTGCTCACGGGGATGCCATGCAGACTTATGTCAAAAACCCCGAACTATCCCTTTTAAGGTCATTGCCTAAGCAGGTCTACTCTAAACCAGAATTGAACCAGGACTAGACCAGGTACCAAACATATCAAACTAGAACCTGAAAAGTGCAGTTATCTTGAACTGACACGTGCTGATGTTGACTGTGAGTGGGGCCTGATCAAGTCTGTCTCCATGGCGGTTTAGTTTGGGCGTCAGGTGGAGCTTGTGTCCAGACCTGTCCCATATCCCAGGTCCTCGCTGTTGTTTTGTGTTTTTACCTGTAACTGTGAAGAGGAAGAAGAGCAGGAGGAAGAAGCTGCAAAGAATCTACAGCAACCAGAAAAGATTAAAGAAGATACTAAACCAGAAGACTCCAGCTCCCAGAATCCACCGGTCGATCTTCGTCTAAACATTGTAAACGTGATCTGCTCAGCTTCAATGAACTGTCACCTGGATCTGAGAAAGTTCTCAATGACCGGAAGGAACGTCGAGCACAACAGCCGATTTAATCAGGTGATAATGAGGATCCGGTCTCCCAGAACTACGGCCATGATCACAGAAAGAGGACACCTGACCTGCTACGGAGCATGCAGTTTCGAAGACGCACACCGGGCCGCTCGCCGATTTGCACGGATCATTCAAAAGATGGGCTTCCCCGTGAGCTTCTCCAATTTCAAGATCAACAACGTCACAACGGTGTTCCAGTCGTTCCGCGTCCGACTGAACCGTCTGTCTGAGGCGCTCCGAGGACACTGCAGTTACGAGCCGGAGCGGTTCACTGGCCTCTATTTTCACTTTGAAAATGTCAGGATCTGTGTCTTCCACACCGGGAAGATGATTTTCACCGGGAGCTCAGACCTCAGCATGTACACCAGAGCGTTCTGGAGATTGTACCCAGCTCTGTGCAACGCCAGGCGCTAAGACTCACAAAAAATAATCACAGATTTTATATTTAATTCTATTTCTTTGTTGAAAATAAATGTAAAATGTTGGGGCGGCAGTAGCTTAGTTGTTAGAGCATTCGCCCACTGATCTGAAGGTTGGCTGGTGCGATTCCAGCTCCCACAGATGAATGCTGTCCTTGGGCAAGACACTTAATCCACCTTGCCCACAGTGTCTGCGTACACTGGTGTGTGAATGTGTGTGTGAATGGGTGAGTGGTTCCTTGTTGTAAAGAGCTTTGAGTGCCTTGAAGGTGGAAAAGCGCTATAGAAAAATGTGACCATTTACCATGATGCGGTAGTTTTTTTTTTTTTTTTTTTTTTAACCTTTTGTTTACTGGAGATTAACATTTCCAGGACTGAAATGATCTCTTTTACTTTTTTCTGTGAGTGGGGTCACCTCTCCGCAGATCTGACCTCCAACTTGGTCTGGCTGCCTCCATGGAGTTAGATTTATCTAGACGTTTTGTAACTTTTCAGGCAACACACGCTAAAGGAACTATGCACCAGATATTTTGATATTTTATTGTTGGATGGTCCACAGTAAATGGAAAAACAGTCACAATAACATTTTTATAAAGAGCTTTTCCATCTTTAAATCACTCAGAGCTCTTTATATCAGTGGTGGATGAAGTACTCAACTTTGTTACTAAAATAAAAGTACAGAAACAGGAGCAAAAAATTACTCAAGTAAAAGTATCACCTGAAAAATCTATTTAAGTAAACGTATTGAAGTACCTGTTTAAAAATGTTCTTTAAGAATAAAAAGTATTTTTTGCAGAGATTTATTTATTTATCTAGTAAAGAATAGGGGTGTAACGGTTCACAAAAATCACAGTTTGGTACGTACCTCGGCTTTGAGGTCACGGTTTGGTTCATTTTCGGTACAGTATGGGAACAAACTGCAAAACCATTTCCTTGTTGTTTATTTGTGTGTTTATTAAACCAACAATTTGTTTTAACATATAAACAGGAAAATAAATTAAATGCAAAGTGCTGCTTGGTAATAGCCTGATTCATCAGCTGGTTTCACTTTGTAGAAACCGTCTGACCTTGCAGTGTTAGATTTCATTCGCTTGATGGTAGGCGGGTACTTTTTATCATTCAACCTATCGCTGCTATTTGGTCGTAATGTATGTAATGCACCACTAACGGGGTTAACTGGTATATTAAGCTTTTCCCAAATCCTGTAGGGAGAAGGGCAATAACGTCTTTCCCCTTGTTGAAATTCACCAAACATTCTCTTTATTCCAGCTTTAAATCCTCTTTCTTGGGACTCGTTACCAGCACAGAGTGTATGGCTCTTCACTGATTGGCTGGTGCCCGAACTTGCACTTCCGGGATTTTTGCAAAGCATCTATTGTATTTTGATTCCTGACCTAGTCGCTGGAGAGAAATGCAACTGAGAGGAGGCACTAGGTGGCGCCAGCCTGGCTCGCTTGGTAATACTAATAAGTTATTATTATAAGTTATTAAATAAATTTTGTGCCAGCAAAAGGCGAAAGTGAGGACTGGGGCACAACGACCATAGTTCTGCGAGGATTCACGTGGTTCAGAGGGACGTAGTCAAGGTGGGGGGCAACTGTTGTCAAGGTGGCCCTAACTATAAAGCGCCACAGGAAACACTGCCCCAGTCACGGACGAGTTCACTCGTGAATATTAAAAAGCCAAGCCTTCTATGAAGCTGCACGTGTAGTGGCTGAATGTAAACACACACAAATTGTGCAAACTCACTCGTGCACAGCCCTGCACCGAACCGATCGCCCCGTAGAGATCACTCCATACTGAAACGAATACATGTATACTCCTAGTAAAGAATCAAATGTAGTGATTTTGAACATTCTAAATTATTTAATAAAATTGTAGCTGATTTTAAGTGATTCAACTGATGTCTTAATTTTTGTAGCCGTTTGTGTTTTTGTGTATTTGGTTTGCTCAAAGTTGAGATGTTACATGAAATTAAATGTGCTAAAAATAAGTCTCAGCCATTTCAGCAGGTTTCAGTTCATAAAGAAAAGCACTCTTTACTTTTCAGTCCAGACTTACAATGTAGTGAAGTGGAAATAAAAAGTATCCACTGTAAAATTCACTTAGCATTGATACTAAAATTTTACTTAAATACTGTACTTTTACTTTTGTACTTTGGTTACCTTCCACCACTGTGTGCAGCCAGTTCAAAGTCATTTTTCTCAAGTATAGTATAAGTAGAATGTGCAAAAACAAATCATACATTTTCTACTTCTAGAGTGACGAGAAACTTAATATTTAGCATACGTCAGTCTTATATGTATTTATTTTCTGTTTAATATTTTCATTCACTACATTTGGCTCGTATTTTGGTCCCAAAAACACTTCTCTATACAGTCTAAAGTCCATTCACTTCCACATCCCCTGAAATCTCTACATGTAAACCTACTTCCTGTCCATCAATGGCTCCTATTGATTTGGCTGTGGCTCTGTGCAGGGCCCGTACAGCTGTATTGACATGTAGTCCCGGTTTCAGGTGGCCCTCTTTGGGTCTGGGCCCACCGTTGTCCCGCTCAGGTGAAAAGGATCCTGGGAACAGCCCTGCTCCTTCTTCCCCAAACCCTTCTCCCAGCTCCAGTCTCACACAATGGAACAAAGATGGGCTCAGTGCGGGGTTCTTATGAGAAATCCAACCCACACTGTAAATGGGGCGTCCAACAACAGGAGCTAATGGGGGACAGGTCCAATCTGATGATGACAAAAGCTCACAAAGACGGGATTACACGTTACTATCGGTAAAAACAGGCATCCGCAAACTTTTACAAATATAACACCTAAGGAAATATTCAGCTCTCAGTGTACGACCAGATTTAACCCTTATATTGTGTTAGAAAGCTACACACATCTTTAGTGCTACCGGGTCAAATTTGACCCGTGATTTAACTCAGCCTGAAAAAAATTTAAAACTCTAGTTATCATGCAATATTGTTTTTCACCTCATAACTAACTTAAAAGTGATTTCATGGATATGAACACATACTAATTTTTTTATTTTATTTTTGACTCCACAGACCTTTTATCTTAAAATGTAGGCAAGGCAAGGCAAGGCAAGTTTATTTGTATAGCACAATTCGTACACAAAGTAATTCAAAGTGCTTTACAGAATAAGAAATACATTAAAATCATAATAAAAACAAATCAAAACATAAATAATCATGAAGATTAAAGGAGAGAAGAAATGTACCACTCGTTTTTGATTACAAAAACTGTTTAAATTCACTAATTATATTTCCTATAGTGATAAAATGAGTAATTATATTATATAATTATACGATAATCATAATTATATTATATTATATAAATTATATTTATATTATATGTATTATATATAAGTATAATTGTATAGGGTGTCAAGAGGGTTTGATGACCATGAAATGTCACCTTTTCTTGACTTGAAGACGTCTCTTTCAGCCTTTGTGACATCTGAGTTCTCCTCATCAGATGTGTGCTCTTGTTCAGGGTCATATATATATATATGTATATATATATATATATATATATATGAATGGACACAACTAACGCTGTAGCCGCCGCGTTCCAAATAGGAAGTTCTCTAGGAGGTTCTTTCTGACTCTGAGTAAGTGACTTGTGTTGGGATCTTTTCGTCTCTCTCTCTGTAACTGCTGCTGTGAGCCTCATCATTTTTGTCTTAAAACATTCGTATTAATCTGCGCCACATGATCCAGATTTTTTTATTTGCTGTATTGTCCATCAAAAAAACCCTATTCATAACATAGAACCTGGCTCTAGATTAACTCCTGTAACTCGTGAGCATTGTGAGCTTCGTCTGAGCGCCGCTGAACACTGTGGGTGACATCACACTCACTTAGTCCACTTCTGTACTGTAACAAACTGTATCAATGTGCTGCGAGAAAGAGAAGAGTTCACGTGGGTGAAGAGGACCGTTGTGTGCATGTGTATGTGAATATAGATTCTACGAGAAAGTTTGAGTTCATGTGGGGGAGGGGTGGTGAAGGGGGCCTGTGTGTCTGTGCGCATCTGCATGTGTTCAAATTCAAAGATAATATAATGCATGAATAAAAAAAAATTAAGTGATTTTGAAATCGAGATCAGATGAAAAGGATTACATATTTTAAGTACGATATATTTTTGAAGAAAATATTGACAAGAAACGATAATAAATAAATTTACACACTCAAACAATAGCAGGTTTATCCCTAAACACCTTGAAAATGTACAATAAAATAACAAAAACACAAACTGCAATAATAAATGAATAAAAAGCAGAATTAACACGTAGGGGAGGGGTAGTGAAGGGGGCCTGTGTGTGTGTGGTGTTAGTGCGCGTGTGTGTGGTGTTAGTGCGCGTGTGTGTGGTGTTAGTGCGCGCGTGTGTGGTGTTAGTGCGCGCGTGTGTGGTGTTAGTGCGCGCGTGTGTGGTGTTAGTGCGCGCGCGTGTGGTGTTAGTGCGCGCGCGTGTGGTGTTAGTGCGTGTGTGTGTGCTGTGGGGCACATTGAGCCATATTTGATCCACAGAGCAGCCTACAGCTTGTAAGTGATGCATAAAACACACTGTAAACCCACATTTTCTTTTACATATTAAGCCAAGCTAATATGACTAATCTTTTTAATATTTTACTAAAGGCGGGACCATTATTAAACAAAGTGTGTTGTGAGTTGTTGTACAGTTGTAGGGAGTATTATCAGTTACATAAGGGTGAGTTGTTGCACAGTTGTAGGGAGTATTATAGTATGAATGTAGTCCTGCATCTCTTAGTGTTTGAGTAGAGCTGTAGGAGCCTGTTGGAGAATGAGCTCCTCTGTCCCTCTATAGTCTGGTGCAGTAGGCGAGTTGTTGTACACTCGTAGGGAGTATTATCTGTCCCTCTATAATACTGGGTGAGCAGGGGTGTCCCTGATGGAGTGCAGTCTATCCAGTGTCCTCCTATCTCTCACTGTGACAAATGTCTCCAGCTCACAGCCGATCACGTGACCAGCTTTTGGATCATTTTGTCAATCCGCACAATGTCCCTTTCTACTCTACTGTATAAACATATTGAGTTGTAGCTAAAACTTCCAAAACGTGGAGGGACAGATGTGACGAGACCCAGACAGAGCCTTATTCTGAGGAGCCGGGTCCGATGGTAAACATGTGCCCACTGGTGGTTAGGGGCCTCCTTGCTCAGTAATACTTGTCTCTGTTGTGTAATTGGCATGTTAAAGTAATTACATGTTTTAACTAATTACACAGAACAGATTACTGCCATCGGGCTCATTTTGGACATGGCAGGTGGCAGGAAGTTCAAATGATGATGTATTAGGCCAACAGTGTTTACCTGGGTCCGGAAATGTTCTGCTCACTTGCAAATCTACCGACAGAAATACTTTTGAATGATAGTATAATGCTAACTGTGGGCGCTGCTCTGTCTGAGGCTAAAACTAAATCAACTAAACCATTTTTTCTTGAGTTTTCAGACAACTTTTTTTCGACACTTTTTGGGGTGGGTTTTTGACTCGAGGGCCACTTGACTATACACGGATGAGTTTTTGGCACATGGGATATGTAGAAAATATCTTATGTTATTGAAATATCCTATAATTGAAAATCATTACAACAAAATATCTGTCTTTCAGGTCCCACGATATTTACTATTTATTGAAATTACTTAGGATATTATCAAGTTCGGTGGGCCAGATTAAGAAGATTAAAGGGCCGCCGCATATGGCCCCCGGGCCGTAGTTTGCCCACCCCTGGGTTAGAGGTACATTAAAGAGAACATGTTATGCATGTTAAGGAAAATCACTGGTCGAACCCAAATATGCAGAAACCAAAAGTATTTATTAACAAAAATAGTCTCGGAAAGGGGATCGGTTCCAGGGGAGGCAGGATGGGTCCAGGTTGGTGTAAGTGCGAGGTATGTGGGGATGAGGCTGACCAGGGGCTTGCGGAACAGGTGGCAACAGGATGAGGCTGTGGCTCCAAACAGAAGAACTGAGGAACAGACAAAAGAAACAGGTAAGAATATAAATCTTCCGAATGCTCAAAAACACACAAAAAAGCCTGAGTTGTTCACCACTGGGTTGACAGAACAATCTGGCACCGGAGAGCAGGTCAGCCGGTTTCTTATTGCAGGAGATGATTACTTGATGGGAACCAGGAGTGGAGCTCAGCAGGTGTGATGAATTGGGGACCCGCCCAGGAAATGCCAAATAAGGAGAGAAGGGAAGAGGGAGCAGGGAAAGGAGGGGTAGAAGGGGCAGAAAGAAACCCTCACAATGCAAGATTGACTTTTATGAGCTTCTAACAAGGTTACAATCATGTTCCTTGTCACTGTCTTAAGTTCAAAGTTGTATTTCAGTTGATAAATGCACATTGAATCATCCTACATGTCATGTATTTGAGGCTTAAGTGCTTAGGACAAAATCTTTCTCCTAATCTCTTATTTCCACCGTCATGTCTGTAATTACTGACATTTATTATAATGAAAGACAGTTATTAAAATTATAACCTATCATGCCTATACAACTAACCTAGATTTTTGGTTTAAGTTTTTAAATTGTCAATATAATTATGATAACTACACTAACTCTGTGCTAACTCTGGGCACTACAATTTTTAATTCATCTTTATTCCGGACTCATGGTCCATTTTTAAAACAGACAAAGACAGTGACGTTACAGAACAATAAACATTTATATTTTTAAAAGACAGCCACACCAATGTCTCCACATCTTGGACTGATATTGCATTGCACTGAATCTCAAGCATTAGTGCAACTTGCAGTGTTCACTCGAGCAGTAACAAACAACTCCGTCACACTCATCCATTGTGGCCTCCTCAAAAACACCCACAAAGCATCATTGTAGGCACCTGCAGTCTTTGCAAACTAGCTTTTTTGTAATTAATCCAGAGGCTGTGTAGCCAGGCTGGTGCCACCTACTGCCTCTGTTCAATTTCATTTCTCCAGCGATTAGGTTAGGAATCAGAATACACTAGACGGTTTCCAAGAACCCCAGAAGTACAGGCACCAGCCAAACAGCGAAGAGTCATACATTCTGTGTTGGCAACGATTCATGAGATCGAGGATTTAAAGTCAGAATAAAGAGAATGTTTGGTGAATTTTATCAAGGGGAAAGACAGTATTGTCCTTCTTCCTACAGGATTTGAGAAAAGCTGAATATACCAGTTAGCCAGTTAGCGGTGCATTAAAACATCAAAAAAAGTACCCGCTTACCATCGAGCGAACAAATTCTAATCCTGCGAGGTCAGACGGTTTCTACGAAGTGAAACTGGCTGATGAATCAGGCTAGAGGCTGTTTACGATGGTGTACAATATGATTTAAACAATAACAAATTTACATCATTTGTACAAGAGCCAAACTTGCGCATAAGAGTATTTTGCCATGTGCGCAGTGATGATATGCCCAAGATATTACATTTTTTTTTTAACACTCAACACAATATTTGACAGGCAAAAGTCAGGATATCTTATGTGCTCGTTTTCTTTGTTCCCACAGATCATGTCCGTACTCTTGGTTGCATTATACTTTATATGCTGCTCCACACCGTAAGCTGAACACATGTTGAGTAGCTGCTGGAGACCAGCGGTGCTCGGACTAAAAAAGACCAAGTCATCTGCGTACATTAAATGATTCACCACAAGATTTCCAGCTACACAACCAGTTTTACATGTTTTAAACTCTGTTGACAGTTCATTTAGATACAAATTAAATAAAACTTGAGACAGAACTCCTTCCTGTCTGACCCCATTGCTGACCCTACATTGGGCAGACACATAGTTTTGCCACTTAATCTGCATTGTTTGCTGCGCATACCAATCAAAATACACACAATGTATTTGGGTACTACATCTCATCCAGTGTTTCTTGTCCTACTTTATACAGTTCAGATACATATAGGAGACATCAAATATAAGACGCAAAATATATGGTATAATGTAGCAAATCTATATTCTAATCTTAGCCGACTTTTGCTCTGTCAGCAGTGCAGCAAACCCTTGGCTTTCTCTCCTGAAATAGTTTTCACTTCACAGCTGTAGCATCAGGGTCAAGAAATGTTTTTCCAGAGTTATTTTGAGTTTATTTTTTTGTTTACTACACTCCATATGTGTTCTATGCACTTTAAATGACCAGATCACACTATTTTACAGAACCCTCTCGCCCAATTGAAAACATGCACATCTTTTCTATTGCTTTCTTGTGTAGTACATGTGTACGGGCCCGTCCTTCCTGTGAGAGGGTGCGGTCGTGTCTCATGTTTTCTATTGGCGCTGAACAAAGTGTCCACCAAACCATCAAAGACGCACACTGCATGAAGACAGCATGTTTTATGAGCTGGCCTTCAAAAGAACCCAGAGAGGAGTTCAAAGCTCACACTCAAGACCAGAAGACGAAGAGTGAGACAGAGAAAGTATGCTTGAGACAGACAGACACCATGAGAGAGACAGAAAGAAACCATGAGTGGGACACAGAGACATCATGAGTGGGACACACACACAAACACAAAAACAGTGAGACAAGTGAGTGGAGTGGAAACAATTTTTTAACACTAAATCCACCTTTTTGCTTCTAAAACTGTGTATATGGGGTTTTAATTATTAGCTATATGTGATTAAAAATTGCTCAAACATGCAACAATCATTTCAAGTACAACTCCAAGATGGTAAATGGTGAAGGGAAACAACTAGAACATGGTTAAAGCTCTGAAAGGTGGATTTATAATAATACGTCTGCTATAAAGGCCTATTCATACTTCATAAGAATGTTCTTTTTGCACCCAGGGCTGGCTAAAGAAAACTACATTATTTTGTTCATCCAGTTCCTGTTTGGAAGTTCTTGCGGCTTGTTCTCGACACCTCAGCTGAGCAGAATTTTGTTCAGCAGTTGGCAGCATTGTCCGACGTCTTCGCTCTGATTGGTTATTTATGTGAGCGTGGTTTATCTGCTGGAGCCAACGGGTGTGTTTTGAGTCACAGCTAGAGGAAATGGTGAGAAAATACAAACATCTATGCCAGGGGTGGGCAAACTACGGCCCGGGGGCCATATGCGGCCCTTTAAACCATTTAATCCGGCCCGCCGAACTTGAATAAATTATAGTAATAAACCTTGTTGATGTTTTATTTTTCCTGCATTTCCGGCGTTTCCCAGTAGATGTCGCACTACCTATACATTGAGGTGTGGCATATTATGTCGGCCGCAATGCTTTATGTGAAAGTATTCTTTTTCAGGTGGCGTATTCGGACCATGAGTGAGGTAGAAGTGTTCAAGACATCATTGTTTTCATGTTTGAGTGGGTTTAAAGCAAAGACGTATAGATGCAATGTTACAAATCTTAATGCATGGAACGTGTTAAAGGTCTGGTTTCATGTTTGTGCAAGTGTTTATGCATGTAACTTCATGGTATGGGTTCTGTTTCTCAATGAGCTCTCAGCGCTCAGGACTCATGCTCACCTGTGTGCAGTTGAGCAAACCTCATTCTCTTATGTGTTCTGAAACTTACGCGTCCTAAAGTTCTTATGAAGAATGAATAGCCCTTTAAAATGCATAAAATTTTACCTTGGTTTGTAGAGATCATTATTTTCACTCCAGTATATGTGAAACTTCATGGGTAAAAAATATAAATAATAATATTTCATTTATTTATTTATTTTTGCATCGATCAGTGTTAGCATTTCTGAACACTCCACTAAAGGCTGCACTGGGTAAAATACACAAACAATATGAACCTGTAGTACAACACCCTCATCTGTAGTACTCTAATAATGGGGTTAGGTGGTCCTTAAAGTGCCCCCTCCTTTCACCTGCTGCACTAATCCCTGTGTAACAAAGAGTGGATCTGCTCAGCTGGACCCTGACCTCTGATCCCATATACCTCATTCTGCTCTGAGTACTTCCCCAAATCAGAGAGACGGAGAGAAAAGGGGCTGAGAGACTTAAAGTGGACCTATTATTAACCAGTTATAGTTGTTTCCCCTTCTCATTTGCCCTCTGAAAGTGATTTGGAGTGATTTGTGCACATTTGAGTGGTCTTTAATCACCTATTTTCAAGACCACATATTGTCAGTCAGCCCCTGTTTTCACTGCCACCGCTACACGCCCACTGAATCTGTGTATCATTCGTTCAGTCGTTTTTCAAAATAAAACCAAAAATAAGAAAACTAAAAAAAACAACCTTTTTCTTCATTATGTGTCTCCAAAACCAAAATGACAAAAAAAAAAAGGATAATGATTCGTTTTTTCAGTTTTCGATTTTGTGTTTAAATGAATGAAAAAAATGAAAAAATGGAAAAAAACAGATAACAGCCGTTTCCCGTTTCTGTGACTTAAACTGAGATGCTGGACTTTTGTGTCGCATACGGACTGAACCAGGACTGAGACCAGGACTAAACCAGATCTAAACCAGGACTAAACCAGGTCCAAACCAAGGTCCCTTCTCTCTCTCTCAAGTCCAAGATTAGTCCTGGTTTAGCCCTCCTGGTTCAGTCCTGGATCAATCCTGGTTCAGTTCTGGTTTAAGTTTTGGAGACAAATAATGAACATGAGTTGTTTTTTTGTTTTCTTATTTTTGGTTTTATTTTGAAAAACGAATGAACGAATGATACACGGATTTCACTGCTCTTCTACAATTTTATTTTCTTAATCGGTGATACATGTAGGACTCTGTAGTGTTTTGGTACTCTCTGATGTGATCTGCAGCTATCCATAGGAGATGATGAGGAGAGACAGGAGACTCTTTGTTGTGGTGATGTTTATGGCAACGTCAGCTCCCAATGGGCAATGCAGTTTTCTAATGTGGAAATCAGCAGACTAGTTTCTTTTATTAAATCGTTTTAGAATAATATTGCCATTTAATACGTGCAAATTATAACATGATGATCCACGGGTGTCACCCACAGTTTGAGAACCCCCTCTTTAAGAGAACTTCCACTGGCACTTTGCAGAAACTGTGAAGAAATTGAGTGGGTAGGTAGA